AACACCTGACTAAGCACGCTGAGTGAGTCAGCGAAAAAGCTGTCACCCTAAGAATCCAACTCAGTGAGAGAGACAGTCGTAAAATTAAAAAATAAATAAATAAAGGAAGAAAAACCCAGAGCAGCGATGGAGCCTGGCCAGGCACCCTGATCCTAGGAATCCATCCCAGAGCAGGGATCTGGGCACCCTGATCCTAGAAATCCATCCCAGAGCAGGGATCTGGGCACCCTGATCCTAGGAATCCACCCCAGAGCAGGGATCTGGGCACCCGATCCTAGAAACATATCCCGGAGCAGCGATGGAGCTAGGCACCGAGATGTCTGCTACAATGTTCAGCACGGCACTGTTTATGGTGAAGAAAACCCCAAAACTACGTGACCACTAAGTACCAGAGACTGCTGAACATATCCTGGCACCAGGCAGTGGAATACTAGGCAGCCAGGAAAAGTGACCCGTTAGGCAAATGTGTTTTATGTACCGTGTGAAACGTTTCTGATTTACCAAGCAACAACAATCAGTTTAAACGGAAATGTATGAAAGGCACAGAAAAGCGAGTAAAAGGATGGACCCACCAGCTTATCTTGATTGCTTGCATTTTCCGGTGGTTTTTATGTTCTCCTTTTTGCTTACCTGTATTTGTCAAATCTCCTAGAATGAACAGGTATCACTTTTGTAATAAGAAATGTATAATGGTATTTCACGCAGAGCTGCAAAGGAGCGCAGTGAGAAAAGAGACAGTCTCTCCACAGACAAGAGAGGCCTCACCTTTCTGAGGTAGTTTAGGCAGAACTCTCGGGCCAAGGGCAGACTTCGCGGAGCCGGTGCTAATTAATAAAAAACATCAGTTAGGACCTAAAAGTGTCATAATATCGGTGGTGATAGGTTACTCAAGGAAATCGGAGGCGGTGCTGAACCATCTAAGAACCCTTGCCAGATCTCTTTAGCAAAAGGATACGGTCTAGTTTCCATCAGTCAACGTTTGCCCGGCTGGGAGGGTGTTTCTGAATGATTCCGACTAACTCCTCCTCCTCCCAGCCTTTTCCCAGGGCACCGGCCGTGAAAGCAGCTGGTCCTGTCCCCGGTGTGGCACAGAGGTACCCCCGCCGGCCCCACTGTCAGAGGAGGAGACCGCAGTGACCGGCAGAGGCCCCGAGCGAGGCTCGTGGGTGATGGACATGGAAATCCAGACCCAGCTCTGCGGGACTCAGAGCCCTCACGTCCTTCTAGGTGACCTCCCTCCCCTGGGCTTGGTGCCTCTGGGAGCCCGTGCAAACGAGCAGGAAAAGGCCCAGGTCCCTGCGACAGGAGGCCGCTGGTGTCGTGCGAGGGGTCAAATGTTAACCCCACGGCCTTTAAGTGCCGGCGGACAGGGGCATCTATTCATTGGGACCACTGCGTCCGTTTAAGACGGGGCCGCAGCCACTCGGGACACAGGAGCGCCGGGGCCCAGAGCGATAGCAGCCACGCACCGTCGACCCGCCAGGAGCTGCTTTAACCTCCCGCTCCTCCCGCTCTGCCCGTGGTTGTCCCCAGAATTGGCTTTTCCCTCCTATCCCAACTGCCTTTAGAGAACAGGGAAAGCCAAGCCAACAGGCAAAGACCGGGGCTCAGACAGCTGACGTGCAGCGTCTCCTATGCTGGCCCTTGGTCCCCGGGGCCTGCGTGCTCTCGGCCACCTGAGGTCCCACCCGCCTCAGGCAGGGTCCCACTGTCGTTGCGATAAGGCCACTGGGAGCTGGAAACGGCGAACGCCTCGTCTGGGCAGTGATTTCCTCAGGTCCTGCAGGCAGGGCGGGCGCCAGGGAAGGGACTGGGGTGGGGAGTGTGCAGAGCCAGGGTCTGCGTCCAGCGCTGAGACCGCCGGCCACAGTGACCCTCACTTATAAAAGTGCGCCCGTGCTGAGCGGCCCACCTCACAGGTTGCCAAGACAAAACCAGTGGCATTAAAGAAACACGGGCTTGTGTTTTAAATCCTGGCTACACTCTGGAAAGCTGTGCCCATACATGCCAGGTGACTTCCTCCCCGATTTTGGGTCTGGAAGTGACCCCGTGTCCTCATCTCACCCGGGCCTCTAGTGAAGCCCTCGCGTTGGGACTGGGCAGTGCTGCCCACAGGCAATGCTCCAAAGCACCGAGACTCATAGCCCTAAGCCCGAGGACCTCGGCTGTCGGTCCCACGGAGGACTACCTTTCACCCCCACGCCGGCAAGATGGAGCCCAGAGGGAAAGTACCAGAACAAAAGGACTTCAGGTGGAAAACTGAAAATAAAAACTCATTCTGGCAGACTGACTCAGGGACGTGAGGGCCGTCCCACCTGGAGCCGGATGGAGGACGGCGTCCACTCCCAGCCCGGCCGGCAGCGCCAGGCCCAGCCACGAGGGGCCGCGAAGGGCCAGGCTGGCACCGTGACCAGCACGGCTGCGGGCCACGCGGAGGATACCGGCACTAACGCCCATCTCTGTGATTCTGCCCCCCAACCACATACCCAGCAGGACAGAGCTGGCTTACCTCGCCTGCTGGGACAGCCCCTCAAACTTGTTTGTGGTCTTACTTGATGAGGATGGACCCATATCGTTACCTACAGGGAAAAGAAAATGTGAAATGTCGACAGAGAAACGGAATATGGGGATGTGGGTTTGGCAGACAAGCACCCCTGAGGTTCCAGAAGGGACTGGAAAGACTGACTCCCAAGTCCACCTGCTCTCCGTGGCCACCACCGCGCCCCAATGGTAACAGAACCATGGCAACGACCGGTCACTGAGCACTTACTGTGAGCAAGGTTCTGTGCTAAGTGCCACACAGTAATCTGTTCATGGGACACACAGTACAACCCACCACCCTCCTTCTTACAGAGGAAGAAACACACGCAAAGTACAGTCAAGCCCCAGGTCAAGGAGCTGGTGAGGGTCAGCGCTGGGACACGAAGCCGAGCAGCCCACATGCAGGGTCTGACTCCTGCCCCCGAACCTCAGGGCAGCGAGGGGCTGGCAGAGGGCGGGCTGGGCCTCACGGACTGGATGTTCTCTGGCCACCTGAGGTGACCTCCATCCTCCAAAGACACTGTGTGTTCACGTCTCTGTCACTCAGCCCTCTCTTCCCCCTCCCTGCAGCACCTGCCCCCCTGCAACACCTGTCCCCTCCCTGCAGCACCTGTCCCATCGCCCCCGCAACAACTGTCCCCTTCCT